CAGATTTTATAAAGGTCTTAAATAAAAAATCATGGCGCGATTTTATCATTTTTATGATTCTCATGGGATCAATACAATCTATCCCTTTCATCAGTGATTGAAGATCTTACTGAGCGTGATTTCGCGATTGTGACGTTGATACTAACAATTTGGTAATGTCGTTGAAAGACATGTACGTCATCAACGTGCAACTACTCCTCAGTGGGACAGGGTCAGTATGTGGTAGGATTAGCTCGTCGAAATGTGCATATAACTGCTCGTGATCGCTGTGGGGCCTTATAAAATATCTACTTCATTACTGTAGCGTGACCAAACTTTGAGAAATAGATAACATGAAGCTTGTCTGTATGCCAGACGTCCATTGCTGGTTCCCATATTGTGGACATCGTTGACACAGATTAAGTTGGACACAACATGTGCTTTGGGTCTTACAAGAATGAGGCTCTGTGTTATTCATAGATGAAGCTGGATTTCGTATCTACCCTTATGCAAGGAAAATGAGGGTTTGGAAAGAACCTGGTCGACAAGAGAGACTCAGGCATGTACAGGGTGTTTGTTCATATAGTCATCTACAAGCTATGGAGTGTAAGGTACTTTAAATCAATATAAATATATTGATTGTAGGTATCTTATAACCTGTTGTTCTTAGATTTGCGACTGCTGAAAGTTCTTGCTTTGCTTTACATGAAGAATAATTTAAGGCCACATATTGCAGCAACAGTAAAAGATTATTTTCATAATGAAGATATTACACTTTTTCCGTGGCCAGCACAATCGCTAGATCTTAGTCCCAGAGATGAATTGCTTTTCTTCTGCACAATGTTCAAACTAGACAAGGTCTTCAAGATCTTCTTATAGAGCAATGGATCCTATTGGCTCTAAATGAAATTGGTTATTTAACTGTAAGAATGCCAAGGCAGTGTCAAGCTATACTTAATGCTGCTGAAGGAATCACGGATTATAGAATACATTTGTTTTAAGATTTTTATGTTTTATATTGACCTTTCCAAAATTTACATTAATTTAGTGCAAACTTTTGTTTAATTATTTCATCATAGAGAAACCACATTACACTGAAGTTAAGATGAATTCATTGCTACTAATCAGGCATGATAACGATATGTCACTTTTTAAAATCGAATCAAAATTGATATCTGTATGAAAAAAACTTTCGTGTTCCTTAGACATTTTTGATGTGTTTGTTATAAGATAGCACACTTATTACGTTAATAAACCGCATTTTGGGAACATTTTTTGTATAATTCATTGATTCATTGGACTACATTATTACATGGTACAGAAACTTGGTAACTAAAGGTAAAAAACAAGGAACATGTTACCAACGAAGAGATATTGAGAAGAGCAACTACAGATAACAACTTTTAAATACCGTAAAACAAAGAAATTTCACATACTGGATCGTTTATAAAAATGCCTTGATCGGCCCCTGGGCGAGAAGAGTGTAATCCCTGTGTAATCCTTGTATCTGTTTTTAAAAAATTTGTGTCTGGCTGTGTGGGTTTTTTTACCCTAAAGGCAATAAAAAAAATGGTCGTATCAGTTATCCTTTTAATAAATTAGAACATAAATAAAAAAGAAATTTATAGAAATTCCACAGAAGTAAAATAAATTGGTACAAAATTTTAAGACAAAATTTACAGTAACCAACTAAAACGGCGTTTCAACTCTTAAATGGTATTAATGTAATATCAATAACGATTAATCGTTTCAATACTTTTTGTAATTACTGATGTATGTTAAGCAACACGGATGATCACATGAATATTTTTCAGTGACAGTTTCAACGAAGGAATTTGGGGTCGAGGTTGTATACCAATTAAATAAAACTGACATTGTAATAAAACCTTGTCCATTTCTTCCTCGGAAAAGGACCACAGGTGCTATAAGTAGTCGTCGTTTCAAATTACTAAAAGAAATTTGTTTCATTTGAATATATATTGAATTTTATTTAAACGTTGACGAGGACTAATTATTATTATATTCTTGCTTGGTCGTATTTTGACGAATGAGAATACAACTTTGTTTTTAATTTAAATATAGTAGTGGCCAGTTTACTGAATGACTAATTTTGTGTAAAAGCACTCTAACTAACTAGACTTGATGGAACAAAGAAGAAAGATGAAGAATTACCCAGACAAATACAAAGAAATAGATAAACACATAAAAAGAGAATAAAAGAAGCCAAAGAGGAGTGGATTAAAGAACAGTGTGAAGAAATGGAAACCTATGAGAAAAAGTACGATGCGTTCAATATACACAAAAAAGTAAAAGAGATAACAGGAGGCATAAAGAAATGCCAAATAGGTAAACTTAAAGACAAAGATGGAAATCTTATTGTAGATCTAGAGAATAAATAAAAAGATGGACAGAATACCTGAATGAATTATTTGAAGACGATAGAAACAACTTAACTCAGATAATCAATGCAACTGGGCCAGACATATTGAAAGAAGAAGTAGAATACGCAATAAGAAACGCTAAAGATGGAAAAGCAAATGAACCTGATGAAATTCTACAGAACTGTTGAAGCTTTTGAATGATAAATCCGTAACCATAATATTACATTTATTCAATACAATATACAGTACTGGTATAATACCTCAAGAATGGTTGCTGTCTACGTTTGTCACCATACCGAAGAAAACTAAGGCAATGCAATGTTCAGATCATCGAACAATCTCCTTGATGAGTCACCTGCTTAAAATATTTCTTAGAGTCATCCACAACCGAATCCATCAAAAGTTAGATATCGATATTAACGATACACAGATGGGATTCAGAAACGGATTAGGTACAAGAGAAGCTCTCTTTGCCTTAAATGTCCTAACACAGAGATGTCTAGATGTTAACCAAGAGGTGCATACCTGCTTTATAGACTTTGAAAAGGCCTTTGACAAAGTACGCCACAATCAACTCAAAGAAATCCTGAAGGTAAGAACATCGACACCAGAGACATGCAAATAATATTAAATCTGTACTGGAATCAGCGAGCTAATATAAAGGTAGAAGACCAAACATCGGGCGAAATAGAAATACGTAGAGGAATACAGGGTTGTATATTGTCACCGCTTTTGTTTAATATCTACAGCGAACAAATATGCCAAGAAGCTCTCTCACATGCAAACGAAGGGATAATAGTCAATGGAGATAATGGTAAGAACAGTGGAAGATCTACAACATCTAGTTGAAAGTATGAATGAGATATGTAATAACTACGGCATAAGGATGAACGTAAAAAAATCCAAATATATGACCTTCAGTAAGAATCCAATTCATGACACCAGTATCACAATAAACGGTACCCAACTTGAAAAAGTAAGCGAATACAAATACATGGGAACCCTCATTAATGAAACAGGTGACCAAAATCACGAGATAAAATGACTTATTGAAATTGCCAGGTCTACCTTTATAAAAATGAAAAAATTATTTTGTAATCGTGATATTAGTATTCATCTACGAACTAGAATGTTAAAATGCTATGTATTCAGTACTTTGCTTTACGGTGTTGAGGCATGGACTCTTAAACAAAAGAATATTAAAAATCTTGAAAGCTTTGAGATGTGGTGGTACCGCCGTCTTCTAAGAATAAGCTGGGTGGATAGAATTACAAATGAAGAGGTAATACGCAGAATAAATAACGATCCAGAAGTTATTATGAATATAAAAACAGAAAACTTGAATACTTAGGCCACCTGATGAGAGGACACAAGTACACGTTCCTACAAAATATAATCCAGGAATGATCTGATTGATCAATGAAATAATATAAGGAAAGATCCAAGGACGCAGAAATCCAGGCCGTAGAAGAATATCCTGGATGAGAAATTTAAGAGAGTGGTTTGGCTGTACCACTAACGAATTATTCAAAACAGCAGTTAATAAAATTAGAATCGCCATAATGATATCCAATCTCCGATAGGAGAGGCACTCAAAGAAGAAGAAGAGAGAAGACTCTAACTATAATAACCGTTATCGTTAGTGTGCCCGTCACAGACAAAAAAGTTGATGATAGATACTCTCTCCAAACTTTGAGTATAGCTTCATTAGGAAAGTCTGACACGGTTCTCTCTGCAACTTTTTTTGGTTATGGAGTGTTTTTCCTCATTTTTTTTACCGAAACATGCCGATTTTACGACATGTAAAGCATCCACTCTTGTAAAGCTTCTTTTGATTCTAATGAATTAGTCATATCGTTGCAAATTTGTAGAGCAGCATCTAGTAGAACTTGCACAGGTTGGTCATTGGATTCTTTGTTAACTTCTATTGGAAGGAGTGGGTTGGTGCGCCAAATATTCTTCCACGATTTATTCAGTGTAGTAGGCTTAACTTGCTACCAAGCAAACGCAGCACAGATAATCGAATCTTTGATGTTAAAGTTTTTCGAAATTGAAGTGATGTCAACATTATGTTGACTTACAATATCCACAAGGTGTTGTTCCTTGTAGTGTGGCTAGTTTTGATTTTACAGTTTCGATGAGTTCGTACAAGTCCTTTTCAGTACCCTGTCACTTCTTCAAATATTAAAGTACTACTAAGTACCTTAAATCTTTCTTAAAGAGGCTGGTCGTCTACAATTGTACCATAAATTCCACTTTGATTGTATTACATCAACAATGTGTATATTCTCACATCTCTTTATTTTTTCAATCTGAAAAACGGTACCGTTTCTTTATATTGTAAATATATAATAATATATGAGATATTTGTATTTTGTGTAAAAGTTATGTTTATCCAAACTTTTTATTTCAGGTGAGAGCGGGCCTCCTCGCTGAAGAGATGAGCGTGTCATGCGCGCCGGTCTGTGCACGGTGAGCGCCCCTTTGGCCGCGTGCAGCCCGGCAGCAGCGCTCCCGCCATCAGCCCGTTTCCTGGCGCTCCATCTGCTGCACCAACAGACTCTTTATTTCATAGTGCAGGCCAAGTCAAGGGTAAGAGAACTCTACCAACAGACATGCAGACATTTTGCCCTACAGGGAATGCAAGATACCGACCTCTTTGGATTAGCTTTGATTTGTGGTAAGTGGTAATATTTTTTATTTATTTCTTAAGGAAGAATTTTTATCAAACCATCCTTTCCTCTATAATTATCACACACCATCATATCTCCCTTTTTGTGAAGAGGGTACATTACACCTAACGTCCAATCTGCGGGAGTTTCCTTCCGTTGCCAGATTTCGGTTACTAATTTATGCATGTGTTTAAAAAGAGTGTCACCACGATTTTTAAAGAGTTTGGCAGGAAGATTGTCCAAACCAGGAGCTTTTTTATTTTTAAGTTTTGAAATGGCTTTTCTTATTTCTTGTTCGGTGAAGGGGGGGGCGGCTCTTGAGCGTTGTCATCCATTTCAGGCAAAGTAATTTCTATTTGGTCTTCTTCACGATTGTCGCTAAGCAGTTCTTCAAAATGATTCGCCACTTGTTTAGTATTTGTTCTTTGTCACTAATTATGGAACCATCTCTGTCTTTACATGCTGTTATTCTGGGTTTGAATTCTTTTCTGCAGTTGTTTATCTTCTTATATGCTTCATTTTTTATGTTGGTTAATGGATCTGCATTCTTCGTCAAACCCAATCTTCGTTTATTTTAGCCTGGTTAGGTTTTAAAAAGCCTTTAGCTTCTTTGAATTTGGTCCAGTGTTTTTTCTATACCTAAATTTTCGTCGTTTCTTGTCAGCTCTTCATTAAAAGTTTTCTGTAGTTATCCCTAGCTTCTTCAGATTTTAGCACATCAGTATTATATTTCGTAGATTTTGTGCTCTGGTCCTTCTTAGCGTTTGATATATGCTAAGAGTCTATATTAGCACCTCTACATGCTCTTACATCTAGTATGTCCGATAAATGTCGACTATCAATTAGTACATGGTTAATTTGGTTTTTTGTTTGACCGTCTGGTGATTGCCATACAGCCTTGTGGATATTTTTGTGAGGAAAACATGTATTTACTTACTACCACCATTCCCAATGATGCTGCGAGTTCAATCAGGCGTAAACCATTTTGGTTGCTGACAACATGAAGACTTTTGCGTTAAAATCACCAATAATAATTTTTATGTCGTTGTTTTGACATTGTCTGTAAGGGCTTTCTAGTTTCTCGTAAAATATGTCCTTCTCCTCGTCTTCTTTATTTTCAGAATAGATATTGATAATGCTGTAATTAAAGAACCTGCCTTTAATTCGGATTCTACATATTCTTGGACTTATTGGATCGAAAGCTATGACTTCTGATTTCAATCGTTTATTCAGTATGAATCCAACACCAAAAATATGATTATTTTTATCTCCGCTGTAGTAGAGAGTTTAGTCTTTTTTTTTCTAGGCTAGCAATATCTAATAAAATAATATCTGTCAATAAAAGATTCGATTTGTAACGATTGTCAAAATTAAAAAATCGTAAATGTCATACAATTAATAACAATATTGTATCATCTATTTACATTTTTGACACTTCTCATTTTAAAATAATTTCATATAAATATAATTAGCATTTTTAAACATCTTATTTCGTTTATATAATAATTAAATTTACTATCAAATGATATTTATTTATGTTTTATTATTAATTTAATATTTCGTCTGATTTTGACAGGTCTGTCAGAAGTAAAAAACGTATGCTGTGTTAATACGTTAGCAGCGTTAGGAGCAAACATAATAATTTATTGAATTATTTTAATATAATTTGTTTAAAATATAAATAATAAATAATACAATTATTTTATTCAATTTAAAAATATTAGTCCACTATACTATCTTTTTTTTATTATTCTAATTCTGATGGAACATAACAAATTCATGTGATTCTTCTTTTCGGTATTTCTAGATCTGGAACTACTTTTTAATTTCTGTTTGTGGGCATTACTGCTTTTCTTTTAAAATCCAGGTTTTTATACATCGACTTCCTCTATAAGCGTAATATTGTTATTAAGACAGGCCTAACTAAATTTAATTTATTTTTGTCAAACGATGCACTGAATTTAATTTACCTTTCAAATAATACAATCGTCAAGGTGCATTTAATACCACAAAAAAGTCTTTTTCATATTATAAATATTGTGGTTGACCATTATCGATTTAACACAGTGGTCAGTCCTAATGCCGGATTAAAATGGATTATAAAAAGCATCTTTAGATTTTCTTAGCTGGTGAATCTCCCAAAACATTCGTTGAATTGAAGATTAAAGTCATGATCTCAGTTTAACATTTTTCTTTGAATTTCTTAGATTTATGGAGCTGTTATGAGAACAATAGCCAATGAAAGAATTGTTACAAACACTTGGAAATATCAAAATAAGGAATCTAAAATCAAGTTTTTAACTTAGTTGTTTATTAACAAAAAATCTTAGTTTCCGAGTCACAAAATAGTACTATTTAACCACAAACTATAATGACAAAGTACCGGAGTTTATGATAATCATAACAGTCATGAATATTTTTTGTATATATTTATCTTTATACTTTAATTAAATTAAGGTCCGTTTCTATCGCAGTCTAATTACAAAACGCGTATAAATATTATATTGACTCTTCCGGGTTCTGTGAGCCTTGTTGTGGTGAGGGTTACTTATGCTGGGTATAGGCGCTAATTCTTGTCCAAGGTGTCCAAGCGACATACAGGTTTGAACTTCCATTTCTTTGCTTCCTGATATATCCTGCAACAAAAACAAAAAAGCAAAGCAAACAAGTAAGTGCAATAACGTAGACCCAATCATACTGCGACTGATGCTCGTTGCCGCGTACCTCAGAAGATGAAAAGAAATTTTTGAAAAGTAGTCAGTAAAGTAGATCCAAAAAAGGTCCGATAGCAACTGCTAAAGCCTATCTAAGATGTAGAAGAGGAGGGTGTTGGTATCTGAAGAGGACTGAAAGTGATGAATAAGTTTAGTTGAGCTCATAAATAAGTTTACCTAAAACTCTTTTCAGTATAATCATCAATATTATGCAAGAAATATTTTGGGTATTAAAAATTTATTTGAATTTACTGTTGAAAAGATATTCATACGACATTGTCCATGGACAGTTTAGAGTAGGTTTCTCCGTTCCACAGGTTTATATTGTCTAGCCCTGTAGAAGCTTTTTTTCCCTTAAAGAGTAGCACCCTTTGAGAAGATGGTGAGGTTGACGTTCCTTCAAAGGGTTTATCGCTAACATACCACCAGCCACTGAAATATCAAATTACATTTACAAAACGCAATCCTGTTAAACAAAAATTAGTTTATTCATTAGTAATATTTGCCCAAAAAATATAACAAATATAGAAAACTTTTACATTTACTTTTACATCCTTTGTAACTCCGGAACAGTTGATTTTAGAACAAATATGCATCTGACCTTTATTGTTTTAAATTTGACGTAGAACATACTTTTTGAAATATTGCGAAAAACTTAAAAAACTTCTAATTTGCCGACCTCTCTCCACTACCCCCCCCAAACCCGACGCACAAAATGGTGTAACTATTTACTGAACTAGATGTGGACCAGATAGAAAAATTTCATGTTGGAGAATAACTTTTATTTTGGATGTCATGGTTTTTGATCAAATTATTGTATACTATTATGGTTCCCGATTAGTAATCCAATTACATCGGCATTTTGCCGTATATTTCAATACTTTCGAGTATGTTTTCTTCAATGTAAAGCCAACCACTGTTAGGTTTACCACTTCGAAGCACTGTGGCGGCTTGATTAAATTAGAAATTGAGAAACTTCTGGTGTTTGTGCCGGAGTTCGAACTCGCGCTGTCCTGCTTGGTAAGCCAGTCTCACAGCCACTGAGCTACCGCCGCTACCTAAAGAGGTATAACATAAACAATTTTACAAAAGAAATAATAAGAAACAATAAAATGGAAAGATTCAATAAGAGAAACAATCTTGCAATAAAAAATAAAACTGAACTAGAAACATGGACATCAACACTATATTTAAAAAAACTTTATACTTTAATAATATCAAGATTAAATAAAACTTTTATAAACTTCCAAAATTTGTATTTTAACCGAATATTTCCAAACGGAAAATTATTAATTCTCATACATTACATCTCTACATTTACCACATTTCTTGCACATAAAAGAGAAAAATAAGTTATTACCAAAATGTATGTCTAACATCTTTAATTTTCAATTCGAAACTTCAATTTTGTAGAGTAAAAATATTATTAATATAAATATTGTTCTGAACCTATTTTCTTGTGGCATTTTGAAGTAATTACTATTTAAAAAGGAATAAGCCACAATTAAAGGTTAAAGTAAGTTATTGACGTTTCAATTTCCACTTCTGAAATTGTTGCCAAAATACAACAATAATATAGTTCTATAAAAACAATAATAATTGTATTATACAAATACAAAATTAGTTTGTATTTTGAGAACGATTTCCGAAGTGGAAATTGAAACGTCAATAAACTTCCTGTAACCTTAATTGTGGCTTATTCCCATTTAAATAGTAATTATTATTAATATAAATATTTTAAATTTAATGAGTTTAAATGTAGGTGAGTTTTAACAATTCAATCCTTTAAATCTCAATCCTTTGATACCTCGAAGACGAACCACAATGGTTAAATTTAAAAACCATAATATTACGGTGTTCCACTGGTGTTACACTTATTGTTTGGTTCGGCCATCTGGCTGGTCATAGTAAGGCCGCTTTAAAGGCTGAATATTTCTTCAAGAGAAATGGTTTCAGTTGCTTCTTCGCGCGTTTTACAGTGTTGTCGTTCTTGCCGACGATACACATTGCCGTGAGTTCGCTCTTTTAAAAACTTACACGCTTGAGTAAGTATCTTCTGTAAAAAAAGTGGTTGCGTTTGTGGAAAAGGAATTACTGAGTAGTTCTCATGTAAAACAAACATACAGTTTTTGTAGATTGAATGTGGTATTTATTTATTAAAATATTGTGTTGGATTTGTACATAATTATTTACATATATATATATATATATATATATATATATATATATTATATATTATATATATATATATATATATATATTATAATATATATATATATATATATATATTTACA